TTCTTTTTTTGTGGAGGTAAGGAACAGTTTTTTGCATGGTGGCCCATCTCACCACAATTATAGCACCTGAAAATGAACAAAACCAATTTTAGTAAACAATTATTCTTTTTAATTATTAGTGTTCATGTTTAACCCTGTGTAAATTTACTTTCGCATCCAAAGTTTGTTAATTCTTTGAAAACAGTGGTTTAAGAGGGTGTAAACTAGAAACCTGTCTAAACCAATTCAACCCTGTGTAAACTGGTAACCTGTCTAAACTAATTTGATCAACCCTGTGTAAACTGGAAACCTGTCTAAACTAGCTTAACCCTGTCTAAACTGGACACATGTCTAAATCCAGTTTAACCCTGTACAAACTGGAAATCTATCTAAACTAGTTTAACCGTGTATAAACTGGAAATTTATCTAAACCAGTTTAACCATGTGTAAACTGGTAATCTATCTAAACCAGTTTAACCCAGTGTAAACTGGAAATCTATCTAAACCAGTTTAACCGTGTGTAAACTGTAAGTCTATCTAAACCAGTTTAACCATGTGTAAACTGGAAATCTATCTAAACCAGTTTAACCCTGTGTAAACTGGAAATCTATCTAAACCAGTTTAACCCTGTGTGAACTGGAAATCTATCTGAACCAGTTTAACCCGTTGTAAACTGGAAGTCTATCTAAACCAGTTTAACCCGTTGTAAACTGGAAATCTATCTAAACCAGTTTAACCCGTTGTAAACTGGAAGTCTATCTAAACCAGTTTAACCCGTTGTAAACTGTAAGTCTATCTAAACCAGTTTAACCGTGTGTAAACTGTAAGTCTATCTAAACCAGTTTAACCCTGTGTAAACTGGAAATCTATCTAAACCAGTTTAACCCGTTGTAAACTGGAAGTCTATCTAAACCAGTTTAACCCGTTGTAAACTGTAAGTCTATCTAAACCAGTTTAACCCTGTGTAAACTGGAAATCTATCTAAACCAGTTTAACCCGTTGTAAACTGGAAGTCTATCTAAACCAGTTTAACCCGTTGTAAACTGGAAGTCTATCTAAACCATTTTTTGCTGCTAGGAATCTTTGTGGTTTGATTATTATATATTCATTCACAGGGACAAAACTGTTACTAGATGTTTTTAATACTCAAATAAAATGTTCAATTGCTACAAAATTTCATGATTTTCACTGCTTTGTGAAATTTGTAAAATGTAGTTGGGTTTATGTACAGTACATTTATTAAAACTTTATAGTAGTTTACAGTGTTTCAAAGATTGAATAACTATACAGATTATCGTTACTTATCTACCAAACTGTTCCAAATTGTTATTAACACCCAAAAAAAAAAAAAAAAAAAAAAAAAAAAAAAAACTGTTCCAATTGGTGATGACAGTAGTAGGGTGTGAATGCATTATAAGTATGTACACTATCAAGATGCAACATGTTTGTACACACACACAGACTCAGTGCTGTTTTTTTTTTCCAAAAAGTACACTCCTCAATGGAAGACAAATGAATGTCAAATCCTTGAGTTTTGACCCCAGCATTAGGTGAAAGGTGATCTTATGATAAAACAGCTAAAAAAGACAATTCTCAAAAAGGCATGCAATTTTTTAAGTATGATTTCCTGAGCTATGTATTTCCTAACCCATACAGTTTTGACTCATGACAATCCCTGTCCATGGAAGTTTGCTATTAATGTATGTGTTTCTGTTAAAACATCACCTGATGCCACCCCCTCTCATTTCATTTGGGTTATCCTTGGGGGCTATGTGTTAATAAATATGCAACATTGTCACAACAGATACCAAACAAGTTTTGATCAGTGAGTGACGTTTGTTATCAGACAATTGCATACTGGTTGGTAAAAATGTAAACAAATGATGTTATGGCCTGTATATAAGGACAAAATACAGAAGAACTAGCTTTATTTCTGTAAAATACTCTGAAAGAAGGGTAGAGCTATTTGAAGGAAACATGCAAAGTGTACATTAAAAAATCCAGTAAAGTTATCTTCTTTATATAACACTACTCCTCGCTTTTATCTCTGTATACTGTTATTAGGTAAGTAAACATTAATCAAAATCATATTCTATTTAGGACATTAATAAAATCAATGAAGACAAGTGCCGCGTCCTGTTCGATATGGGACTCATAGCGACGTATACAACGAGTGTAAAATACATTGTTTATTTACATGAAATTCGAACACGCGCTGCACGACGACCACCGCGCTTTAAATATATAGAAATATAACAAATGCGACATAAAAGTAGATATACACATTGTTTTTACTGAATGGACATATGCCACTCCTTGATCTTTACTTAATATTAATGGTTTGGTATCTCATTGATAATGGCATTCATTAAAATAAATCAAGTCCACTTCAGTAATAAGTACAAAAATAACTTGAGTTCATCAATTATGTAGATCTGATGAAGTTTGTCCAAGGTTATCTCAGCCAAATGCCAGTTAGAATGATTGCATATGGATAGCATAATGTAATGATATTCAAAGTCCGGAACTGTCGCCTGGCACAAAAACATTTAAAAAAAAATATTAAAAAAATAAAAAAAATAAAAAAAAGAATGTAACAATAATTTTCCTCCCCAAATGTTGATGCAACATTTTTAATATTTTAAATTAAACAAAAATAATTTTTTATTTGTTATGATTTTTTTATTACATTTTTTTAAAATGTGAAATACTTTAGGAAAGGTTTGGGAAAGGTATCAAGGTTGTCTTTGGCCCACCAAAATGTTTTTGTTGATTTTGCACTGAATAGCCATAATTTTCTATTTCTAGATTAAGAAGTTTGAAAAACATATGGTAAAAATTATCCAATTTTTGGGCATTCTGGGGGTTAAAGTGCTAAATGTCTGTTTCAAATTTACCTCGACCTTAAAACAATTGGCCTTCAATGAAATAGGATATCAGTAGGACAGTACTACCTCAATTTTAATCACTCTTCACATTTCTTGGAGGAATGTCAAGGCTCAGCTGCAACACTATATCATAGAAGCTCCATTTAGATCACCTGACATATTAAGCATTCTATATACTTCTATTAGGCCACAACAGAAAAAGTTATCGTTTCCCTCATTGTACACTCAAAATAAGTTGTTTTTAATTAAGTTGTAAAAATACCCTTTGAGTTTGATTACCAAAATCTTGGTAACTTTTGGTTCCTTTTCACAAAATAAAGTACATAATTTTGTTCATAATGTTTCAAATACATGTATTTTGATCACAAGATCACAATAGGAATTTGTGTCCATTATTAAAAATGTTTGACTTGTGTTTAAGTAAATAATTATGTGACGCTTTTTGAAAAAAACATTGTGATGAATTTTATGCCCCTATTTATTTGTTTGAATGCTTGCCAGTGATCGTAATATAAATCTTATAACGAGTCAAACTGAGTATTATTCTACCTAGAACAAAAAAAAAATATTGAATAAGCTTACCGATTACTCTGCGACGATATTTTGGTCTAGGTCTTCTTTTGCTGCCTTGGCAATCAGCACCATCTGGTCCACTTACTGCTAGAGCTTCCCATCCTTTTTGAGATTTCTTATATTTAAAAACAACAAGTTCTCCTTCTCCTAGGCTTCGGAATCCACCCATTTTAATAACAGACTGTAGGCAAAAAAAAACAATTTGGGGTAATTAAACATGTCAGTTTAAAATGTGTAGCTCATAGAATTGTTTTGGGAAACAAAAAAATCTTTTGGTAAAATTAAAATTAAAGCACAATTTCATGGCAATTTGGGAAAAAAACGTGGCATTTTGAGAAAATACATTGACCTGATACTTTTTTTTCTGGGACCAATAAAACTGCCTAAACAATGCACAACTTTTTATAATATTATCGTCTGTTTGATTCAGTGACGACAAGTTCCACAATACTAAATACACTTTATGAAAATGCAGAAAAGATAATAATCAGCCATACAGTTATGTCAATATAAATTACATTTTCAAAGTGTTTTTTTGTCTTCCGTTTGCCATGATGCAATGTGCAAAATAAATTGAAATCGTTTAAAAGTTACACATGTTCATATTGGAGATGCCAAAAATAGATTTTATTCAGAAATGGTTGATTAGATCTTGTTGACAGACAGAGAGCCACAAACCTTATTTTTTGCCCACCAAAATTGTTCAAATCACATCACATCCACTGTGACTTTAATATATAATCATCATATTTGGAAAAATGGATGCTATGGAGGTATAGAACAATTTGTGGTGGGCAAAAAAAGTCTTGTGGTTCTCTCGACCTCAGTGGCTATGTGTGAGTAAAGTCTATAAAGGATTGTTAAGCTGCTGATTTTTAACGGCACGATTATATGTATCTTAGACATATTTATAAATATTTAAAAAAAAACAAACTGTTTTTATATGACATCATTCTTGCTCAAATCAATGAGACAAGACAATTAGATTGGTTTGTCCAGTACCACCATCTATTCTGCAAAGCACTCATGAACTACTTATCAAATCCACAACGTCACAGCAGAAGCATCGTAACTGCCATTTTGAATTCATAAATTTGAAACA